CAGTCAGTATCTAAATAGTCGTATCTACCTAGTTTCGCAAAAGTATCTGAATAGTCGTATCTAACAAGTATCATAATCAGTATCTGAATAGTCGTATCTGACCAGTGTCATAGACAGTATCTGATTATTCGCATCTGAAAAGTAAAGTAGTTGTATCTGACTAGTAACGTAGTCATTATATGAATAGTCGTATTTAACTAGTATCGTAATCTATATCTGAATATTCGTATCGAACAAATATCGTAGTCAGTATCTGAATAGTCGTATTTTAATAGTATCATAAACGTACCCAAATAGTCGTATTTAACTAGTATCGTAAAAGTATCTGAATAGTCGTATCTGACTAGTGTCATAGACAGTATCTGATTATTCGCATCTGAAAAGTAAAGTAGTCGTATCAGACTAGTAACGTAGTCATTATCTGAATAGTCGTATCTAACTAGTATCATATTCAGTATCTGAGTATTCGTATCGAACAAATATCGTAGTCAGTATCTGAATAGTCGTATTTTACTAGTAGCGTAGTCAGTATCTGAATAGTCGTATCTGACTAGTATCGTATTCAGTATCTGAGTATTCGTATCGAACAAATATCGTAGTCAGTATCTGAATAGTCGTATTTTACTAGTAGCGTAGTCAGTATCTGAATAGTCCTACCTAACTAGTATCGTAGTCAGTATCTGGATAATCGTATCTAACTAGTATCGTAGTTAGTATCTGAATATTCGTATCTAACAAATATTGTAGCAAGTATCTAAATAGTCGTATCTAACTAGTATCGTAATCTGTATCTGAATAGTCTTATCTAATAAGTATTGTAGTCAGTATCTGAATAGTCGTATCTAACTAGTATCGTAGTCTGTATCTGAATAGTCATATCTAACAAGTATTGTAGTCAGTATCTGAATAGTCATATCTAACTAGTATCGTAGTCTGTATCTGAATAGTCGTATCTAACTTGTGTCGTAGAAGTATCTGAATAGTCGTATCTGACTAGTATCATAACAGTATCTAAATAGTTGTATCTAAGTAGTATCGTAATCAGTATCTGAATAGTCGTATCTAACTAGTATCGTAAAAGTAGCTGAATAGTCGTATCTGACTAGTGTCATAGACAGTATCTGATTGTTCGCATTTGAAAGGTAAAGTCTGACTAGTAACGTAGTCATTATCTGAATAGTCGTATCTAACTATTATCGTATTCACTATCTGAGTATTCGTATCGAATCGAACAAATATCGTAGTCAGTATCTGAATAGTCGTATTTTACAAGTAGTGTAGTCAGTATCTAGATAATCGTATCTAACTAGTATCGTAGTCAGTATCTGAATAGTCGTATCTAACAAGTATTGTAGTCAGTATCTGAATAGTCGTATCTAACTAGTATCGTAGTCTGTATCTGAATAGTCTTATCTAACAAGTATTGTAGTCAGTATCTGAATAGTCGTATCTAACTAGTATCGTAGTCTGTATCTGAATAGTCATATCTAACAAGTATTGTAGTCAGTATCTGAATAGTCGTATCTGACTAGTATCATAAACAGTATCTAAATAGTCGTATCTAACAAGTATCATAATCAGTATCTGAATCGTCGTATCTAACTAGTATCGTAGTCAGTATCTGAATCGTCGTATCTAACTAGTATCGTAGTCAGTATCTGAATAGTCGTATCTAACTAGTATCGTAGTTAGTATCTGAATCGTCGTATCTGACTAGTATCGTAGTCAGTATCTGAATAGTCGTATCTAACTAGTATCGTAGTCAGTATCTGAATAGTCCTATCTAACTAGTATCGTAGTCTGTATCTGGATAATCGTATCTAACTAGTATCGTAGTCAGTATCCGAATAGTCGTATCTAACAAGTATTG